GTCAAGGTCTTTCTACGTAGTCCTACCTGTGTATATGGAGTATTGGACTCAAAGACATTTGCCACCACACCCAACCTTCCTGGCTTTTCTTCATTTTTTTGTTTCTCTGTGTCATCTCTTTTATCTTTCTTTTTTACTAATGAGTTTCCCAGAATCCCCAGAATGGGGTACTTTAAGCATTTATTGTCTTAGGCAGTTTACAAGAGTAATTGGAATTAGTGGGAACTCTAGCCAGCTTATTCAGATGGTCAGGATATTTTTAATGTCTTAAGATTTTTTTGTAGTTCTTGGGATCATACCTAGGGCCTCTTGCATTTTTAAAAAATACTATATTTCGATGCCTTTAGTATCACTAAATTGCTCAGGCTGGTGTTGAGCTCTAGACTTGACTTGTGTCCCCAAGTAGTTAAATTACAGGCTTGTGTTAACAGGTCCAGCTTTGTTGTTTTGAGACAGAATCTCACTGTGTAGGCTATGTCGTCTAGTCTGGCCTTGGTGATTGTCCTGCTTCAGCCTCCCAAATCTTCAAATGCTGGAATTATGGGAGCACCACCACATGCAGCTTTTGTTTTGAGACACAAGGCTTTGTGTGGTGGTACATGCTTTTAGTCCCAGCATTCATTCTATGTAGTTAGGACTATATAGCCTTAGCTGGCCTAGAACTTGTTATGTAGAGGCTGATTTCAAAAAAAACTCTTAGAGAGCCACTTGCCTCTGCTTCCTGTGCATCACATTTTTAAGAGTATATGTGCATGCAGTGCCAGAGGAGGATATTCTGTGTGTCCTGCTTTCTGTTCTGACCCCTCCATATACCCTCCATGTTAGTATTCCAGGCATGTCCATGGTCATATCCATGGCTACTTTTCATAGTAGCAAGCACTCTTACCTACTAAGCCAATTTCTCTGGCCCCACACTCAGCTTAAGCACTTTGGCAGAAAGAAGAACCTATTCTCAAAATTAGCTAGAAGGATCTATGTAAGATTAAACCTTGTCTGTCCTGCTAGACCTTGATGTGTACTCCAACAAGCATATCCGTAGACCTTGTCTGACTCTTACTCATGGCCAGGCAGGGGGGACAGTGTATGCAAGATTAATTGGTGTTCGTGTTATCACTAACCTGCTTAATCAGTAACAGGATAAATTGCAGTACTCAAACATTCTCTTGCTTCCTCTTGTGGTTTCCATGCTGGGGAATGAGTGGAATTTAATCTCTCCTCTTTTATTTTGGTTCTAGGATTACTACAGTATCCCGTTTCCCACACCCACCACTCCACTTACTGGGAGGGATGGTAGCCTGGCCAGCAACCCTTATTCTGGTAGGATTGGGATAGAGCTGAATACAGGGAGATGTGTAGATACAAATGTGTTTAGTAGTAAGAAGAGTTCCATAATTAAGATTTTAGCAGAAGTGTGATTTTTGTGGGAGTGGGGTATCTGTTAGTCTCCATCGTTTTCTAGGAAGTTTGATTGAACCCTCTTCTGTATTCCCTTATGCCACTTTGCCCTGTGTACAGTGGCAATCTCATTGCCTTGCTAGCTAGTCCTTGGGTTTTTGTTTATGCATAATGATCACTGTCTTCTCATCTTCCCTTAACTATTGTTGTCCTTCAAGCCCTTGGAGAAGCAAGGTATAGGAAAAGGATGGGATGGAGATTAAAGAAAACAAGTAACAAGTTGGCAGAGGAAGATGGGGATTTTTCATTTGGGGATCTCTTTGCACATTATAGAGTATGCAGCTAGCCCTTCTTTTCTTAGGTGACCTCACCAAGTTCGGCCGTGGGGATGCCTCCTCCCCAGCCCCAGCCACAACCTTGGCCCAACCCCAACAGAACCAGACGCAGACTCATCACACCACGCAGCAGACATTCCTGAACCCGGCGCTGCCTCCTGGCTACAGTTACACCAGCCTGCCATACTATACAGGGGTCCCGGGCCTCCCCAGCACCTTCCAGTATGGGCCTGCTGTGTTCCCTGTGAGTAACTGACTGACTGGTCTTGTTGCGAAGGATCCCAATTCTGGGCATCATTCTAGCTGCTTTCAAGGCTAAATGACCCCTTAATAATAAATGAGGAACAACTTGTACCTTTGGCCTATTTCTGATTTAGGAAGAAGGGATGTGGGATTTTAATTGGAACAAGGCTTACCTGATCTTAGAGTTAGCCAAAGGAGGATTGTGATACATTATATCTTCGCCACCTCCTCCTTTCTCTGCTACCATTGTCCTCCCCCCCCAAACTATCTCTTAACTGCTCAGGTCAGTTCTGAAGACATTAGTGTTCTAGTTATTTTTTTGTTGTCATTTTAAAATAACATGACCAAAAGCAACTCACACAAGAAAAAGTTAAGTTTTGGCTTACAGTTTGAATGGGGAGAGTCCATAATGGTGTGATGCCAGGAGTAGGAGGTGGAGAGAACAGGAAGATGGGATACATTTTCAGATCCTATCCCACTCACGTTCTTCCTCCAGTAAGGCTCCTCCTCCTGAAGATTCTATAACCTCCTCAAGCATTTCTGATTCAACCACAGTCAGTAAGGACCAACCGCTGGCAGCCCTACTTTAGGATGGAGTAGAACAGGTGAGACAGACGCCATCTGCTGCTGTTCTATTCCATTTCTGTCCTTTTTGTTCTTCAGGTGGCTCCTACCTCTTCCAAGCAGCATGGTGTGAATGTCAGTGTGAATGCCTCGGCCACCCCTTTCCAACAGCCAAGTGGATATGGGTCTCATGGATACAACACTGGTAAGTTCCCTTTGGCCCTTGTTCAGTGGTCTGTGTGGGATATTACTAGATGGGAGAAAGTGGGTCATTGAGATAAGCTCACCCTCCACATGATTGTTAATTGTTTGGTTGGCTTAGAGGTCTAAGAACAGTACCAACAAAGAGCTTGTACTAGGGCATGTATCCACTATTCACAGTGGGAATGCTCAAATGGCTAATCTGAGTTTGGGCGAGAAATGGCAGGGGTCCCAAGATCTCACTGAAATATCACTGGGGAAAATGGTAGTATGCATGGCACCAAGAGTGGAAGAGTACTGAAGAGAAGGTTTAGATATTTTCCTAGCTAACGGACTATGTATGATAGGTTTGGCATAAGTTTGTAGTACTAATTTTGTTACATGACTTCCCATTTTTTAATTCCCTAGCTAGAAGATCTATATACAATGTGGAGAAAAATGAGTAGACACGACTGACTACTCTTTGGAGTGAGACTTGAACCCTTAGGTTTCTTCTTCATTTCTTTAGCTAGTCTTCTTGCACAGACTTGTTGCACATCTGATAGCAGGAAAGTAGTGTAGGGATTTTATGGACACATGTAGCCTAGCCCTTGCTTCTCTAACTGACATTGTTGCTTTACTTTTGGACGATGGAGATGAAGAGAAAATTTTGCTTTTGTAGGTTTTTTAAAGTTTATGATTTTTTGTTTTGTGTTTGTTTTTGTTTTGTTTTGTTTTGTTTTTTTTGGTTTCTCGAGACAGGGTTTCTCCATAGCTTTGGAGCCTGTCCTGGAACTAGCTCTTGTAGACCAGGCTGGCCTCGAACTCAGAGATTCATCCGCCTGCCTCTGCCTCCTGAGTGCTAGGATTAAAGGCATACACCACCACTGCCCGGCCTAACTTTATGGTTTTTTTTTCCCCCACCCCACTTTATAGTTATTTATTTATTTATCTATTTATTTATTATGTATACATTATTCTTTCTGCGTGTATGCCTGCAGGCCAGAAGAGGGCACCAGACCTCATTACAGATGGTTGTGAGCCACCATGTGGTTGCCAGGGATTGACCTCAGGACCTTTAGAAGAGCAGGCAATGCTCTTAACCACTGAGCCATCTCTCCAGCCCCCACTTTATGGATTTTTAAAATGTGATTTTGTTTTTGTTTTTTGAAACAGGCTCTTTTTATGTGGCCCTATCTGTCCTGGCATTCAGTATGTAGTCTAGGTTGGCCTGGAATCCACTCTACCTCCAGAGTGCTGGGACTAAGGGTTTGCACCATCACATCTGTCTTACTTGTTTTCTTGTTTTGTTTTGTTTTGCTTTTGAGACAAGGTCTCTATATAGCCCAGGCTTGCCTCTAATTTTTAGCAGTCTTTACCACTGTTGAGCACTGGGGTATATACCATACCTGAGAGAACTGGAAAGAATTCCATGTAATTTTCTTAATGACTTTCGAGTGAATCTGGGGAGGTGTTGCTGCAGTTGCTAATGGGTTGGACTTGAGGGTTATCTTTAAAAGCTTGCATCCTGGTTACAGTTCTATGAGATTTAGAGTTACCAACAAGTGTTCTTCATTCTTCTGTGGACTCTGTGGGTAAATAGCCAAACTTCATAGTAATTAGAGAACTGAGCACAGAAGACAACAGATAGGCTTAGGTATTAATAGATAGATAGAGGTTTGAACTGTGACCTATAAAACCGGGTCACGACACACATTTTCAAAATCTTGAGGAACCTCTGAGATTTAATGCCCATACTCCTTTTGGCTACTTTTCTCATTGAACAAGGCCTACCCTAATCTTTGGTTGAGTATAGAGATAGAAGCTTTTTGACTTAGAATGGCTTCACCTCCCAAATTTACCATTAGGTTTAAGTACTAAGTGGTCCAGAATCAGATTGGAATCTGGTTTTGAAACTCTTAGCTTGAACCTATCTTAAAATTTCAGAAATCTGCTATAGCAGCTTTTCGAGAACCCCCAGTTGCCAATCCCCAACAGAGGGCTCTTGTCATTCTGTTCCTCATCAACCTTTAAATTCATTTATTTTTATGTATTTGATTCCTTTTAGGAAGAAAATATCCACCCCCTTACAAGCATTTCTGGACGGCTGAGAGCTAATTTGGCCCAAGCCTGGGGGCTGTGTTTTGTGTGTGTGTATAAATTTGCACTGAAGTCTTGTTTCAGAAACCAGACCACTGAGGAGAGCCTGCTGAGCTGAGGCCATGGCCTGCGTGGCTTGGGGAAATGAGTTGGTGGATACCTTCTGGGCTTTTGAACTTGCCCCCCTCCCCATCTCCCTCTCCCCCATGTGTCTGACCCTGTCTTACCCATTTCGAGTTCGAGCGGTGCAGCACCTCCGAAGCATCAATGCACACGCCTGCTGTTGCTTTTGATTTCTGGAAGGCATGTAGTTCCAACTTGTAACAAAAAATATTTGTAGTCTTCAATAAACTGTGGTATTTCTTTAGCTAACTCTGCGTTCTTTCCGTGCATGTCTTTCTGGACACTAGGAGCCAATGCTGTATTGTGGATAAAGGGTGGAGGGCGGTCTTTTGAGTCAATCCCTAGTATAGCCAAAGAGCTGTTAGTGTTTCAGCATAGTTAAAACAGTTCGTTTCCAGCCTGTTGATTGGTTGGTAAAGCTATTAAAAATAAACAAAAACAACAAAACTGATTTCCCATGCTTTTATGTCTTTACTTTTTCATGTAGATCCTCCCCTTGCCTCTGACTCAAGCTGAGGGCAAGGGACAAGAAGTTAGTGTCACGTCATAGTGAAAGGCTAAAGCTGTTGTTAGGGGAAGTATCGTCCAAGGCTTAATTTCTACATCTGGTTCTCAACGTTGACTGTCTGATTAATATCTCATCAGGTGATCACTTAGTTGATGGCTCGGGCTTTGTGGAAACGGTGCTAGCCTGGAACACTATTCGTGGTCCTTTGATGGCTTTTCAGAGATTGTGAATTTTTAGTCTTTTTTACTAGTGGATGTAGCCAAAGCTATGTGAGAGATGTTTGGTCAGACATCCTGTTGGGAAGTTTGTCCTCCATGCACTCACTAACCAGTACACCGTCAGCCGTTGGTTTATAGCAGAATTGAACAATTAGACAACCACCCTTGGTTAATCAGAAACCATACACCCAACTTTCCTTTAGTACAGTTCCTTACCCCTCTGGTCCTATGGAGTTTAGCCAATTTTCCAAGTTGCTGCCACGCTAAGTAAGAAATGATTTTTTTTTTCTTCTGCCTACCACCTACATTGTTTTGTAATTTATTTTTTTTATCACGGTTGGGTAATTGGGGTAGGTAGGACATGTGGGATGGGAAGGAGAGCAAAACTTTAGTCTGAGGATCTCTGTAATAGCTAGTAAAAATAGGGAAATCAAAGCCTGCTATTTTTTAGGTTTTCTAATACTTACATAGAGGCTATTATAGCCACTATACAGGATTCTCTTTTTCCCTGTTGCATTTCTGGTTCTTCTATACAATTTAAAACTTGAACTAAACTTTTTATGTAAAAATAAACAAGGTAGGAGCTTGCTAGAACTAATTTCTCCTTACCACCCAGCGTGGCTCCAGTTAAGTAGTTTCTCCCACCCTGTGTAAGCATCCTAGCTTCTCTTGGCAAGAGTGTAACCAAGTCAGCTGTAGGCACTTATCTATTAAAGATTGTCTCTGGTTTTGTCTTGAAAATATTCTGTAACCTGGCTCATTTCCCTTCCCCATCAAACCTCACTAACTTTAGTCCTTCCCATATCTGAACTTAAAGTTATGCCTGCAACCCATTGTTCTCTCAGCTAGGCATCTGGGGTCTGAAAAGAAAATCTCTGCTACCTCCAAAAGAGTTTGATACACTGTTCCCTTTGTTTACTTTGTGCCTTAGAAGCTTTGGAGATAAGGAAGTATTTTTTTTTTTTATGCTTTATTTCTATGCTTCTTTTTCTTCCCCTAGAATTGTATTTGTTCCTTTTCAAGGGCACTATCTGGACTTAGGATATGGTAGAGTTTAACGTTAATTTTTTTCTCTTGGTGCTAGAGGTCAAACCCTGGTCCTTGTGCTAGCTAGAAAAGCACCTAGTCACTGACTAAATCAATTCTATTGGAACATTCTAAAGTGATTGTGAACTTAACTCCTAACGGTTGCCTTTCTTTTAGGCATTGGTTAGGAGAATTTGAGTTTCTGGAATTTGTATGGAGTGAATGGAAGATTCCTTGTGATTTTATCATTAATATATCGCTTCTTAAAAAAAAAAAAAGCCAAACAAAGCTCCATCAGAATGCTTCTCAAATTAAAGAATGCTGTACTTCTGGAGGCAAGAATCTAAAAGATAAGAATGTAGTTCTCTGGTTTCCTTTTTTATTTTTACAGGAGCTAATGATGTCTTTTTACAGGAGCTAATAATGTTTTTTTTTCAATTGTGAATTTCTAGTTAAATTAACTTATTTTCCACATTTTGTTTAAAATGTCTCTAATGACATGCTAGATTATCTCATGGCTTTTCCTGTCCTCTTGATTCATTGACCAATACTGTTAGGAAGGAAGAGTGTAGTAGTATGTTTATTTTAGCCTGAGAACAAATTAAAATGGATTATACTACTACAGGCTACTTTAAACTGTAGTGGCAGGGAATTTTTCAACAGGAAACATGAGTTAAATATGGATTAAAGCTGTTATTTGTGGGCAAACTGAAGTAATGAAAATGACATTGCCTTTATGTTTCATATAGGTGTCCTCCCCACCTCCATACCACTAGAATTATAGAACTAGAAATTCATCTTGTGCAAGCCCTTTAAGTCACAAGGATATAAGCCTAGCATTTGTTCAACCAGAGAAGTGAGGTTCATGAAGTGAATTGAGACTCTGAGAATAAGCACTGGGGCCTCTGCATTGAACTGTTCCTAATACTTAGCAATGTAGTTTTAAGGATTTTGAGTCCCAAAGTGTCTTGTAGAACAGTAAGAGCCAAAACTGAGTGGAGTTTGAGTAGACTGATTCACAGTGGACATTAAATTTATAATACCCTTTTGCTTTGAAATCATGCTACTGAAATTTTGCTCATACCCCTTGTGCTCCCATCAAAAAGAGGTTCATACATATATTCCACACATATCTAGAAAGGACAAAAGAACTCTTAGGCAGCATTTATGTTATGAATTCTAACATCTCAGAGCTGATGTAATGATGGAAAAAAACATACCAAAATTCTTTTGCAGTGCCATAGCTAGAAAGGCTGCAGACATCACGTTTCCTAGGAACAGAGACTAGGCTGATAGCAGACAGAGCTAATCCTCTCTGTTTCCTCCTCCCCTAGGTGTATCAGTCACCTCCAGTAACACGGGCGTGCCAGATATCTCGGGTTCTGTGTACTCCAAAACCCAGGTAGGTGCCTGGTGTGGATGAAAGTAGAAAGAGATGGAGGTGGAGTCACAGTTAGAACAACTCTGAGGAGAGGTGTCCAAAAGCCATTCTACTTTTTCTAAATGAGTTGTCTGTAGACTTCAGTTTCTCTAGGACTTTATGAGAAATGTCATAGGAAGGTCAAGTGTTGTAAATTGTAATTTAATGTCATTTATTTACTGTGCAAATAGTCTTGGCCTTTTGACCTACCCACTTAGTATTTTCATAACTTTGCAAGAGAATAAATATGGAAATGAAGGGAAACTAGTTAATTTCCTTCTTTGTAAGTTCGTAATCATGAGTGGAAATGAAGTGAGTAGTTTGTTACTGAGTTATCTATAGGTATGTCTGTTTTCATTTTTATGTCCCAGAACCTTCCATACTCAAGATATCTCTTCAGTTTTTTATTCATTTCTTCAGAGATATCTACGAAATTTTAATTTATGCTAAGCCACAGAGGCAGGAATGTCCAGACTAATGAGCATATTTCCCTGTATTCACATGAAATGTACAATTTTATTTTTATTTATTTATTTTGAGGAAGAGTTTTATTCTTTAGTCCTGGCTAGCCTGGAACTCACTGTGTAGATCAGGCTAGTCTCAAACTGCAGAGATCCATCTGCTTCCCAAGTAATTAGAATTTAAGGTGTGCAGCATCATGCCTGACTAAGATTTTATGGGTGCTTTGACAGTCATCTTTCTGCTTGATCCTTATGACAAGAGGTCAGTAGTAGCGCTCTCTTCTCTCTCTCTCTCTCTCTCTCTCTCTCTCTCTCTCTCTCTCTCTCTCTCTCTTTATTTTGAGGCGGGGTTTCTCTGTATAGCCTTAGTAGCTATTCTTGGCTGTCCTGAAACTCCCTCTGTAGACCAGGCTGGCCTTGAACTCAGATTAAAGGTTTGCACCACCATTGCCTGATTTATCTCTTTTATTTTGAGGAAACTGAGACTGAGTGGTTAATTAGCCTAGGATCATGGAGCTATGAAAAAAAGAAGAGCTAGGACTAAGACTTTTGAATGTTTGACTTGAAGTGTGCTATTGTTTCTGACCATGCTGCTTTCTGAGGACAGAGGTATTTGGGCTCAGTAGGTTTTTCTGATGATCCCTTTTACTCTTTCTCCTCCTGTTCTCCTGGGATAGCAGTCCTTTGAGAAACAAGGGTTTCATTCCGGTACTCCTGCTGCCTCCTTCAACTTGCCTTCAGCCCTAGGAAGTGGAGGGCCCATCAATCCTGCCACAGCTGCTGCCTACCCACCTGCCCCCTTTATGCATATTCTGACCCCCCATCAGCAGCCACATTCTCAGATCCTTCATCATCACCTGCAGCAGGATGGCCAGGTAATAGCCCTTCCCCCTTTCTCCTTTCCCTTCATCTTCCTTCCTATCCCTTAAAACTGCCTCCCTTTTCCTTTTCTTACCCTTCCTTACCACCACCTTCACCCAGCCCTCCCAGTGCCAGCCAGGGGCACAGCACATACAGACACAAGCGCACATAACATGAGCAGTTGGCAAAGGAAACATGAGAGAATGGGCCAGATTGAAACCCTTTTGCCCAGTTCCTTTGGTACCTTTCTCCTCCACCTCCCGTGGCACAGTTGTCCTCATCCTGTCAGACCTGGGTCACACCTTCCCTTGTAACCTCTCCCAGCCTTCTCCCTTCCCTGACATTTTAGCTTTCCCTTCTAATGGTGGAGTTCTATTGTCAAAAGTTTGTCCCTTTATTTTCCATATATCCTGGTTCTGCCTCAGCTACCATATTTGCAGATGATTCTCTGTTGCCAGCGCCAGCAGGAGGAGCAGGTAATGAAACTGAATGATAATATGCTTGAACCAACTTCTTTTTAGTCCCCATTTCACCTCCACAGCCTCAGATAACTTGAAAAGCCTACCCAATCACAAATCGAGATACACAAACAGAAACACTATGCTAAGCTCTCTGGCCTCCCCATCCTCTCTTCCTTCCCTCTTCAACACCCTCTTTATCTTTCTACCCTTCCCCAACTCTGGAAAACACTTGGTTACCACAATGGAAAAGATTCTAGGGGCAGCATCTGGAGCCTGGTGCCTCAGGTCTTTCCTTTGTTTGATTGGTTTCACATTAATTAATGTGTGGTGGTGGGTGGATCTGAATGGTGGTAAAAGAGACCACTTAAGACCTCCAACATAGGTGGTTGGGCAACTTCCTTGCTCTCAAAGATAAAGCTTTCCATATTGAGGCATTCACAGAGATGAATGAGAATGTAATCATCTTGTGATCACTCACTTCAAAAAGGCCAGAATTCTCATAGTTGCCTTTTTTAGATCAGGACAATAGGTAGTGGGGAAGACAACTGACAAGAATGGAACCAACTCACCATATTATCTCCAAAGTGTTCTTGTCCACTTTTCATTTTTCCTGTACTTTAAGGTTAAAAAGAAAAAGATCGCCTTGTAAAAGAGGCTATGTAGAATCAATTTTCTATGGCTTCATAGTCGGCTCTAAGTAAAGGAAATGAGAGAGTAGAACTATTTTACACATTTCCACGTCAAGATGTTACAGTTTGGTCCCACTAACTAGACACCTTTCTCCTCCCCCATAACCCTCCCATCCCTGCAGACGGGCAGCGGGCAACGTAGCCAGACCAGCTCCATCCCGCAGAAGCCCCAGACCAACAAGTCTGCCTACAACAGCTACAGCTGGGGGGCCAACTGAGGCCCTGACCCTCTTCTCCCGGTCCCATCTTCTGAGAGGGCTCTCAGCCTGGAAACTATGGAAACAGCATCAAAGAGAGAAAAGAATGTGGGGCGATTCCGCTGCTCCACACCCCAGCGGCCCATCCCACACCTCAGCTTCATGTCTGTCCCATTCCTATACCATCCCACCCTGTTGTATGTATTATAGGATTTGTATTTTCTCTCCTCCACCCTACCCCCTTCCTCTTTGCATTCAAGATTATGAAACTTTGCTCTGGGCCTTGCCTTTTCCTTCGCTTCTTCCTGTTCACCCTGGTGGTGTATGGATGAGGTAGGGAGGCACCCCCCCCTCAAATATATATCAGCCCAACGGCCCTAAGTCTTCTCCTTTATTATTAGGAAAACCAAACAACACACAAAAAAATGGCGTCATAAATATGAACAGCATTGTCATATGAATTAGTTGAAGTGTTTTTTTTTGTACTGTGTCCTCAAACTTAATGGATTAATGTGTCTTGTATATATATACATATATATATAAAAAAAGGAGAAAAAAAAACCAAACCTCTACCTTCAGCCTCTGCCCATTCTTGCTCCGTCTAGGATATCCTCACTCTCGTCGATGACCAGCTTGGTGAATAAGTATTATCGTACCAACTGGGCCTCTCTAGCAGGCTCGAAGGCTGTGGAATAAAGTGAAATCTTTGCCCTTTAAGAACTCTCACCTTAATGTGCTAGTATTTTGCCCTTAAGGGGATTCCCTTTCATACCCTGTGACTGGAAAGAACCACTACAAATCATCATTTCTCCTAGAAACTGTCTCATCTACAGCAAGTTTCAGGAAGTGAGGTGGGAAGGAGTAAGAACATTTAAAGGAGGAAGGACCGGGAATCCGAGCGTGCTTTTAAAGGATGCTGCAGTCTGAAGCCAACAGTAGCTATTGACTGGCACGACTCAAATTTAGGCCCTTTTCCCTTTATAGAGGTAGACTACAGTACTTGTTGTCTGAGCTTTGTTTTTAAGACAGTCTGTGTATCCCTGACTGACCTCTAACCCTCTAACTTGGTATGGAGACCAGGCTGGTCTCAATTCCAGAGGCCTGCCTGCCTTGCCTATTTTATGTGGCTTAGAAATGCCCAGTTTCTGGGAAAGGGGTGGATGATGAAGAGCGAGACCTGGGGTGAGGGCATAGTGCCGTAAAAGGTTTTGAACTTGAATTACATGGGAAAGGAAGTTTTATTTACCTTTATAAGAGCCTGAAACTCATCATACTGCCAAGGATTCAAGAGATTCTGCTTCGGACTTCCCAAACTGCAAGTATCCTCCTGGCTTGGGTGGGGAGGGTGTGTTTTTGAGTCAGGGTCTTACGTAGCTCAGTCTGGCATGAAATTGTGTACACCAAGCCGCATATAGAGTTCTGCCTGCCTCTGCCTCTGGAGTGCCGAATCTCATAATTACACGCTCTTTGTTCCTTTTCTTTTCGGGGTGCTTCAGTAGTTTCTCTTCCCTCCCTAGTAGAAATCCTACCTTGTTGGTTACAGTCTGTTATCAAGTTCAAAAGAGTGCCTAGGTGTGGTGGTAACCTCCCTTAATCCCAGCGCTAGGGAGGCAGAGCAGGCAGTTTGAGGCCAGTCTGGTCTAAAGAATTCCCAACAGCCAGGGCCACACAGAGAAACCATGTGTCGAATAAACACGTTTAAGATAATTTCTTATGGCCAAAACTAATTCCCTACTAGCTCAAGAGGTTCTTGGTATCCTTCCTCTTCTCTGTTGAGCAGTAAAGAAGTCGCTCAGGAAAGAGCTTGGCAAAACACTGCCCAACAAATAGTGTTGGACGTCACTTACATCAGTCTAGAAACACAAAGTGGGGGCGATTTCTGAGCGGGGGGCGAGGCAGGGCTCGGGACAGGCTGCTCCCTCTGGCGGCTTACTCGGAACCATAAAGAGTAACAGAAACATCCGTTGGGACCTGTCAGGTGGGCAGGCAGAAGAATCTCTTAGAAGGGATACGGTCTCGGACCGTGGGGATTCCACATGCCCACCTTCACTCAAAACTGAATGGTGGCTTATGAGAAAGAAACTTCGCGTCTGTGGAGCGCCATCAACCCCGCCTCTTCCTCCTCCGGGTTACGGCATTTTTACGACAATGCCGCGTCGCAGTCTTGATTTCCGGCAGCGACTGCTGAGCCCGAGCTATATCTGACAGGGTGTTCCCCCATGTCCTGCAGAAGTTTAAAGTTTCTAGTGCCCCTATCGTAATGAGCTTTTTTGACCTTTTCCGGGGCTTTTTCGGCTTTCGTGGACCTCGGAGGTGAGTGTAGTTCTGGGCTGAACATGAGGGAGGGGAGTTCTTTGGGGATGTTTGACCCCTTCGCCGTATTTTTGGAAAGCTTTCTTCCCCGCCCCCTTCAACTCCTGCTGTGAGGATAAAAATCTGTACCTTGAGTACTCGCCTCGCCACAGTGACCAAAGCGGTTCTGAAGAGAAGAGAGACAGTGCCTGTCTCCAATGTGGGGTGATGCAACAGGGACCTGGGCGGAGAAAACAATGGGGGTTTGGGGAAGAGGACAGTGAGCAAGTAAGCAGGACCCTGGTCAAAAGGAGTGGGCAGTGAGACACTGAAGAAAAACCAGGGAGGCGTTTGCGAGATGTCGGGAGGTTGGGATAGGCTCTAATTAGAAACACACAAAACCCGAATAGATTCATCAGCGTTGTTTTGACTTGGAAGCCACCCCTCCGGTGTTTTCTTCAGCTGCCTAGACCCTTACCCTTGTCCCATTTTGCTGGCCTTGGGTTGATTTTATTGCTTAGATAGTGCTGAAATCTTCGTGGCTTGTCTGCCTCCACTCGCAGCCACAGAGATCCCTTTTTTGGAGGGATGACTCGAGATGATGATGATGACGACGACGAAGAAGAGGAAGACAGAGGCACGTGGGGTCGAGGAAGCTATAGGTTTGATGGTTCTCAGCCTCCGGAGGAATTCGGTTTCAGCTTCAGCCCAGGAGGAGGGATGCGATTGCACGACAACTTTGGCTTTGATGATCTAGTACGAGATTTCAATAGCATCTTCAGCGAGATGGGGGCCTGGACCTTACCTTCCCACTCTCCTGGTGTGTAGATTTCCCTGGGGGAGAACTTACTGGGTTACTGGGTGAGATACGGACCTTGTAGAGTAGTTGGGGATGGAGAGTGCAGAAGCTGATTTCACAAAGATTTAATGTGTCTTAAGTCCTTTCCTATCCCAGTATCACCTCCCAACTTTCTGCAGAACTTCCAGGTCCCGACTCAGAAACACCTAGTGAGAGATTGCGGGAAGGGCAGACGCTGAGGGACTCGATGCTTAAGTACCCTGATAGTCACCAACCCAGGATCTTTGAGGGGGTCTTGGAGAGTCATGCAAGACCTGAATCCCCCAAACCAGCTCCAGATTGGGGGTCTCAGGGACCTTTTCATTGGGTGAGTACTCTGTCTGCACCTAAAGTGCAGTGACTAGACCCTTTCCTGGAATCTCTGAGTTGGAATTCTAGCTCCTCTAATTAGTGCATTTATCTTAATTTTCTTCTTTGTTGGGCTTTTTGTTTTGAGTCTTGGGACCCACTGTGTAGACTAGACTGGTCTCAAATTTAGAGTCCTGCCTCTGCCTCTAGATTAAAATGTGCTAGCACATGTAGCCCAAGGCTTATTTATTTTGTTTTATATGTATGAGTGTTTTGCCAGCTTGTTTGTTTCTGTACCACATGTGCCGGGTGCTCACAGAGGTCAGAAGAGGGCATTGAATACCCTGGAACTCAAGTTATGGTGGGTGGTTGTGAGCCACCATACTGGTACTGGGAGCTATAAACTATGGTTTCCTGCAAGAGTGTTCCCTACCCTATCTTTTATTTTATGTATGTATGTATGTATGTATGTATGTATGTATGTATGTATGTATGTATGTATTTTGAGACAGGGTCTCTCTGTAGCCTTAGCTATCCTGGAACTTGTTGTGTAGATCATGCTGGACTCAAACTCAGGGACCTGCCTACCTTTATGTTTGTTAGTTTGGTTTTTTGTTGCTGTTTGTTGTTTTGAAGATTTTTTTTTCTGGGTGGTGGTGGTGCACACCTTTAATCCCAGCTCTCAGGAGGCAGAGGCAGGCATATTTCTGAGTTTTAGGCTAGCATCGTCTGCAGAGGGAGTTCCAGGACTGGAGCCATAACTACTGAGGAACCCTGTCTCAAAAAATTTTAAAAAAAGCTTTATTTATTTTGTGTCTGTGTGAATTTTTGTGCGCCATGTGGGTGTAGGTGCCTGCATTATGAGGTGTTGGATCCCCTGGAGCTCTGAGCTGCCTGATATCCTATAGAAGAATAGCAAGTGTTCTTAACCTATGGGCCATCTTTCCAGTCTGTTGCTTCCATTTTCTTTTTGCAGTACAGGAGAATAGAATACAAAGGGGAGATGGAAATATTCTGCCCCTTTTTCCCCCCTGAGACAGGTTTCTTTGTGTCTTTCTGGCTGTCCTGGAATTCACTCTGTAGACCAGGCTGGCCTTGAACCACCACCTGACTCTGCTTTTTTTTTTTTTTTAATTACTAGTTTTAATTCTTTAATTTAATTCTTGGTTAAAAAGGGGTCTTGAGGCTGGGCATGATATTGCATGCCTTTAATCCTAGCACTCTTGAGACAGAGTCAAGCCAGTTTCTGTGAGTTCAAGGTTATCCTGGTCTATACACCCACGAAAGAAGAAAGAAAGAAAGAAAAAATCTTGAGTCGGACATGATGGTGTACACCTTTGATCCCAGCACCAGGGAGGTAGAGGCAGGCAGATCTGTGTTTGTTCGAAGCCAGCCTGGTCTATCGAGTATGTTTCAGGATGAGAAACTCTGTCTTGAAAAGAAAGATCTTGAAGATGCAAGATGCAGGAAAGTGTTTCATGAGATCAGTTTGGTAGAAGTCCGTATAGAACTACTGAAGGTGTGTGAACATTAGCTGCCCAGATGGAAGTGTTTGGGGGTTTTGGAACTTAGGAGGAGTCTGGGCCTCTGACTCTTCAAGTTTCACCAACTCTGTGTGGCTTCTTCTGCAGTTGGATGATATATGGTCTGTGACCCCCCGTTCTAGAGCCAGAGAGGACAACGGTGAGTCTGGCGGGAGGGCACACTTGCCATGTCCTCCTCCTCCAGCTATCTCAGGAGTCTCCTCCTCCCACTCTCTCCTGGCTGTTATCTCTCTGCCTTTTCAGATCTTGACTCCCAGGTTTCCCAGGAAGGTCTCGGTCCACTTCTTCAACCCCAGCCCAAACCCTATTTCAAGAGCATCTCTGTGACCAAGATCACTAAACCAGATGGGGTGAGTTGAGAGAGAAGAGTTAAAAAACTGGTTAGAGAATGCCCTGAAAAGGAGGATCTGTTAAGATAACACGAGACTCAACAGTGGTGTTAGAGATATACAGACCTTCTTGCAGGTCGTGGAGGAGCGCCGCACTGTGGTGGACAGTGAAGGACGGAACGAGACCACAGTGACCCATCACGAAGCACATGGCAGTTCCACCAGTGGTACGTTAAGAGTTACTCAGAAAGGCCCATTTTTTTAACTCCTTGGGGAAAGGCTGCGCCTACTTACTGATACGTTTCCTCTGTCTTGTTTATTCTGTCAATGTGTATGATTTTCTTCCTTAGATCCAGTCTCTGAAAGATCTTCAACTCTGGATGATCCCTTTTCCATCCTGGATTTGCTCCTTGGAAGTTGGTTTCGGTCCCGGTAGCTTTGTCAGTAACCTTCCGAAGTCTTCAGGTCCTTTCCACTCCCTTCAAATTGCCCATTGCCAATAAGCTTAGCTTTGTGTGTCATCCTAAGGGTTGTGAGTGTGTGAAACAATGCATTGAGCTTATGCCAGTCTGTCATTAATCCGAATTGACCAATAAAGCCTTTATTTATGCTAAAGGTCCTGGTCTTGGTTTTGTCGAGGTTCTTTTGCTTTCTTTACCCATCCAGGGCTTTCAAAATTATCTTGACTTGCAATTTTATATTGTGTGTGTACACAGGAGTGGTGTGCACATGTAGAAGTCAAGACTACATGTGGGAATGAGTTCTCTCCACAGTGTGGGTTCCAACTCACGTTCTCAGACTTGGCAGCAGATATTCTTACCCACTGAGGTGTCTCTCTAGCCCTTCATTATAATTTTTGAAATATTTTTCCATTTCCAAAACGAGATTTAATAAATTAGATGGAAGGAGAAAATGATTTTATGACTAAGGAAATAACTAGAGGTAATTGCAGTAACATTTCTAGAAGAAGGCCGTCTCAGGCCGCCAAAAGACTCTGGTAGGGAACTAGGATAGCTGCTTCCTTACATACAGGACCACCGGCTGGACAACTCCGCGGGCAGGTAGTCAGGTCTCACTGTTTTTTTAAGATTTATTGATTTACTTATTATGTACGCAGTGTTCTGCCTGCAGGCATGCTTGCTCTCCAGAAGAGGGCACCAGACCTCATTACAGATGGTTGTGAGCCACCATGTGGTTGCTGGGAATTGAATTCAGGACCTCTGGAAGAGCAGCCAGTGCTCTTAACCTCTGAGCCGTCTCTCCAGACTGCTTTTATTTCTTTATGTTTTGATTTATTATTTATTTCCGGTGTAATTACTATTTATTGGTTTTAATTAATGTTAAAAATATAACTAGCAGAAACATTTTTTAAATTAAAAAATCTTATTAGCTAAGCTGAAGTTTTTCTTTCTTTTTCTTGTTAAATTTTTTTGAAACAGGGTCTGACTATAGACTATGGCCCGCTGTCCTAGAACTAATTATGTCATCCCAGGACAGTCAAGGCTGCATAGAGAAACCCTGTCTCAAAAAATCCATAACCCTGTCTCAAAAAATGAAAAAAAAGCTTTATTTATTTTGTGTATGTGTGAAGTTTTGTGTGCCGTGTGGTGAGGGTGCCTGCATTGTGAGGTGTTGGATCCCCTGGAGCTCTGAGCTGCCTGATCCTGTAGAAGAATAGCAAGTGTTCTTAACCTATGGGCCATAACAACAAAAATATAACAATCAAGGACAAGAGATAATAGTTAAAAAAAAAA